TAAACTATCAAAACAATCCAAATATCAAATGTTTATTGACCTGATCTTGGATTGCTAATTAAAAATCTGCTAGATTTTAGCAGATCACGTGACCAGCGTCTACCAGGGTCTTTGCTCCCCAAGAGGAAAGTCCCTGGGTACGAGGTTGATTAGTGATAATAGTTTGTTTATAACTGGACAACACCTGTGAGGTGTTCCACGTAAATGTTTCTTGATATTTTAATGCTATCAGCACAACATAGTTTGCGAAACAATGTACGATATCTCAGGGAGACATTTAGTTCATCGAGTACTTTCTCGTTACCAGGGTACCAGGCACCAAGGGGGCCTACCACAAAACCAAATACTTTCGCTTGTTTGTTTGATTTGTTAAAATGGTCAACAAGGTAATTATATTTTATTTCTTTCCTTTCGGCCGCCAATCTTAGGGCATCTTCATCGTTCTCGAATGGACATGTGACATCAATGATTGTTACTTTATTACCGTCCGTTATAACAAGATCAGGACGATTATTTCCGGGTGCATCTGGAACAATTTGATCTATAGAGTATGTGCCGCTTTGTATCACGGTTGAGAGTCTTTCGAGTATTTTATTGTGTCTAGCTGTTATTGTGTTCATGTTGGGGTGGCAATGGCAGATGATATGTGGGAGGGTTTCACTATCGTTGTTACTGTGACATCTCCTGCATTCTTTAGTGTTACCATTCGCGAATCTACTCTTCACAGCGTTGGTGGGGAGGGTGTTGGTTCTCGCACGGTGGATGAAACGCCAGTCACAGAAACGAATTCCTGTGCCATCGTAACACCAGCTGTTTGTTGATGGAAATTTTGTAGATTGCAGGCACCTAGCCACTTTACCTTGATCAGGGAGGCTTTTAAGCTTAAACGCGCGTTTAAGCATCGATCTATGTAGGTAGGAGGCCACTCCTTTACTGTTGGTTGCTGTTTGAAAATTGTCTACCGAGATTAATATATTTTCGGATGCAGACTTGACTTTAACTTTTAGGGCACAGGCTGAAATACAGCAACACGACCACAGGGTTTGACCGTTGCCACAACTCATATGGTTACTAAAGTTTCCGTCTAGATTACCTGACAGAAATTGGTCAACTTCATCGTTTTCGGCTTCGCGTTTAAGGCATCGAGAGACTACAGATTTAAGTTCGTTTTTTGCGATATTACTAACAAACGGATCTGAAACTGAAAGGATTTTGACTGCGTGTACTACTGATTGAATATGACGCTCGTTAAACGGATCTTGAAGTCCTAGACCACCAACAGCTTTGTCCGCAAAGAAATAGTGTTGCGTTGCTCTCTTAGGAAGGTTGCATATCGACCGGAGGACTTCAACCAGTTTTTTTCCGATATTTCTCAAGGGCTTTGCAGGTAACTGGGCATGTTCTTAGTGCGTAGGTCAAACCCGGTTGGATGAAGGTTCGTATTGCATCCAACTTTTGCCACGGTGTGAGTAGGGAGTCTCGGATTTTCTCAAGGTCTGCTATTAATTTTTCAGTAATCGTGTTCATATCTTTCGCATCGTATAACAAGCCGATAGGAACACCAAGATACCGATATGACTCTTCTTTCAGGAGTGCAGGAATCACGCCGTCTTGTACCTTAAAGGTTGTATCTCCTACACGTGAGGGTTCATGTTTGTTACAGGTTAGGGATAGAGAGGCACATTTGTCTGGTCTAAATTTGAGGTTTAGGATGTTAGCAGCTAGTGAGACGTCATCTAGCAGGCTTTGTAAGCCGTCGCGGGTCCTACTCATCAGGACTAAATCATCGGCATAAGCTAAGACATATACCGGTTGACCGTGTAACTGAAAGGGGATGTATTGACTTTCGTTGCATCGCGATTTAACCACTCTGACAAGGAGTTCCGTAGACAGATTGAATAATACTGGACTAACAGGGCATCCTTGTTTAACACCGGCTCTGATTGGGATGGAATCGGTTTCTTCATCCTTGCCGGTTCGTACTACCATTGATGAATCGGTATATATATCTTTAATCAGATTAATTAGGGATTCAGGGAAACCCATGTGACTGAGAGTAGAGTAGATAGCGTCGTGGGAGATACTTCCGAAAGCATTCCTTAAATCTAGCCATGCAAGGAAACAGTTCTTATAATTCCTTTTGCAGTCAGCCACAACCGATTGAAGCGTATAGGAATGTTCGTGACATCCTTCCGAAGGTTTGGCACTTTTCTGTTCGTTTGAAATAAGATCTTTATTTATCGCAAAGTTAGATATACGGGCAGCTAGGATAGAGGTAAAGAGTTTATAAATACACAACATCAAAGCAATGGGTCTGAAATTACTCGGGTCATCACTAGATCCTTTCTTGTAGATTAGGATGGTTGACGATTGTTTCCACGATGATGGTATTTTCTTCTCCTCTAGGCACTTGTTGTAAATTAGGCTGAGAACTTTACAGTCAGGATCTACCAGCTTAAGGTGTCTGTATTCGACTTTGTCTTTACCAGGGGCTGAATTGGACATTGATTTAAGTTTGTCCTTAATTTCTTTAGGGGACATCTGATCCATAAGGGATTGATCAATATCTGTAGATGGGACGTTATCAGAAAGGGAGGAGACGAGTTCATTCAGATCAACTGTGGAGGTGGAAAAAGTGTCAGTGAAATATTCTTGTGCTTGGTCTTTTGTACCAGTGTAGGTGATGTTATTGTCCTGGAGAATTTTCCTCGCAGCTCTCTTGTTCGATAGGCGGAAAAGGGTCTGGATTCTACCGGCTTGTATTGGATTGCTTATTAATGGTCGCCGGTTTGGGTTAGGTAATCTGCTGTTCGGGCGGTTCCTTGCGTTTCGTACAGGTCTGCCGCATCGGTTGGAGTTATTGGCACCTGAAGATTTAACTTCCAGTACGACCGCATTAGCATAATCATCGCATTTATGGCAAAAGTCATCAAACGATTCCGTAGTTGAAATTCTATTGGACCATTTTCGCACGAATTCAGAGGTGTTACTTGACGCTTGTTCAGAACTTGAATGAACTGACTCGGTGGTATTAGTATTACTGTTTCCATCATTACGACCACTTAGGGAGACTGACGGATCGAAATTAGCATGTTGACTCGGGGAATCACTATTCTCGTTAGTACGACCACTAAAGGCGACCTCGGATTCAAGATCATCTTGTTGGGAAGGAACATAACTATCCACATTAGTACAATCACTTAAGACGACCTCAGCTTCAAGCCATATTTGATTGTTGTGTCTAGGTTGTGAGACGCCGGGGTTTGGGGAGGGGTTATGGGTGAAAGGAGTTGTTGAAGGATCTGGGGAATGGGTAAATACGACAGGGGATGAGGGTCTAGGAGGAGAGTAGCTGTTACTTTCGTCACGGGTTTGAGTGAAGTTTGGTGGTGGGTGGGATGTAAATGGTTCATGGATGAATGGCAGAAGGAGGAAGGTTGTAAATGGATTGGGGTTGAGGGTTGTGAATCGTCTGTAGACGGAGAGTAAGGGAGGTCTGATGTTAGCGTCGACTGATCATGGAACGGGGTTTGGATGTTACCGGAGGTTAAGGGTTGAGTGTGGACTGGGGATGAGGAATGGGGGGTGTGTGTTGTAGGGAAAAAGGAATTAGCGAAGGGGTTGAGTGTTAGGGGGTTAGGATTTAGGGTATCGGATGTTGAAAGATTAGAGGAAATGCTATCTTCGTCAATGATGTGGTTATTAACTGGACCAGATGCGGAAATTGACATGTACGCGGGCGACTTGGACAGTGACTTTATTTTCGAAATATTTTTCTTACGATGTACACTAATGGTTGGTTTATTGGTGGACGAAATTATTGGAGTTGGAGAAATTGGATAATCATCCTTAGATCCAATCTGATGGAATCGTTTTAAGTGAACACCGGCGCCTCGGCCGTCTTTCAAGAAGTCATTACAAAGGCTACATCTCGCTGATTCCATTAACTTAACTTTCTTATGTTTCGACTTGAAATGTCTTCTAAAATTCGCAATCGAGCCGATGGACACATCACATAAACAACAAACAATCGGCTTTCCTTCTGGGAAACTACGTTCAACATATACGCAGTCAACGTTTTGGAGTATCACAACATTTTTGCATTTCGAGCGGTGAACCGCGAGACCGCCTTGCGACCGGGAAACAAAGTTACAATCGGGACATTTGTTGACATCTTGTTGAGACTGATCAACACGACAGATATTCGAGACGTTACTAGACATATCCAAAGTTAAATGTACATACAAGACGAAAATAACAAGATACGCGATTCCATTATGAATTAATTAGATGTGACCCAATGAAAAATTATGGGGATTCCCCGTACAGCACGATATCATGAATATTTGAATAATAATTAATTGCCAGCGAATCCAGATGACCGTTGGAAATGACTAACAAAACCCGTAGTTTAAATTCTCTTAAAGATATAAACTCCAAACTTGGTGTAGATGTTAACAGATATAATAACTATAAACCAGCAAAGTTTCAGGAATATAGCTGGAGTAGAACCTGAGATATACGCGTAACTTTAAATTCCACGGGAAGTAAACAATACTATATTAATACAAACTAAACAGTCCGCGACTCCAGAAAAACACGTAAAACAGTACGAAATAATACACAACAGTACGGAATTATATATCAAAATGATCCCAGTAATGAACCATAAACGAATCCAGCGACAATTAACGAGACTGACGAACAAAGGATGCAAATACAGCATTAAACGACGATACGAACAGAACAAAAATACAGGTCTGAATTCAAATTTATACAACGGCCAAAATGAACAAATCCATATAACTCCAAGACAAAACGTCGTACTAATACCAAACTTTCACAGGATAATATAAACACAAAACGTAGATCACAGAGTAAATTTCACTCGATTCCAATACGTATTCAACGAGAAAATATCCAAAAACCAATTTTCAGAAATTACAGCGTACAAACGGCAATTATTCCAGCTTATACAAATAAATTCAAATAAAACTTTAAAACGATGCAATATCACTTTGTAAATCCAACAAACAGGTTCACGAGACTTTTACAAAAAATTAAATATATAACAATGGCCTTATAAACAAGAATTTGGCTAAAAATTTTGAAAATTTTAACGGAGCACTAAGATACACTTGATCTTAGCCAAAAGGCCGAGAAGCGATGCCTTCTTCGCCGTTTGCCACACATATTTCTACCGAACACTTGTGCTACGAAAACGCGGTGAGAAGGAGCTCGCTTGCGAGCGACTATGACGTCGACAAGCGCCTGATCACTCGTCGCACGAGCACGGCAAGTCCGTGGTGATCGCCCAACGCGACTTTCGCGGTTCTCGCGCGCACGCATGTGCGGTCATGGAGAGGGGCACGGCGGCCATGTGGCATGGACGGTGAGACGAGAGTTGCGAACGTATCGGCATTCGCGCTCTTTAAAGATCCACGAATGCGCCGAGCTTCTTTCGCTCGCAAATTGCATTGTGACCCGGAAAGGTTTCGGGTCACGCACCGTGAAATAATGCGATGTTTGAATAAATGTTTACTTGGTATTCTATAAGTTTGACCGGCAAAACACGTGCGCTTGAGTGACATGCGAGCCAGCTAATCGGCACTTGGAATGTACGTGCGATGGCTTGAAATTCCGTTGGCAAGCAAGTGACTTTATACAGCGAATCAATTGAATAGTGTGCAAAGACTCCAAGTGCTTACAAAATATAAACGTGTATAGCTTTACTTACCATATCATATGAACAGGAGATGGAGATTTCGACACGGAGAATATATATAGAGTGTCTTTTGTGATAAATGATATGTTTGACATCTGATTCTATACAAAAACAATCGACACACGGCAGCAGTGTTAGAAGCAAAAACGGCTTTTTATACATTTATGTTATATGTTGAAGGGGACAAGCGCGAACGCAGGTCCCCACTACCAGAAATTATACGCTCGAGTTACCCACATTAGGGGTAATCGCAGGAGTCAACCCAGTCGAAGTGCAATGAAAGGGCCTCATCCTGAGAGGACCTCCTAGTTGATCAAGGTGCCTCTCGCGTCAGGTAAGTATGCTGTTGTTTGCGCCGCTCACCTTATATACGCGATGATGATGAGACGCGATTGTGGTAGTTCGGGGGTTTCCCTCTTGTCTTGAACGTCATGTGCCGCGATCTAGAGAATGAAAAAGTATGCTAGTAAAATTAGATGTAGTTGATTCGGTTCATAGCCGAATGAAAACACGCTCACAAGGTGTGAAATATCAACATAGGATAAATAATAAAGTGTTACAAGTCATATGATATGTATGTTATATATGCATGAGAAAGCCGTGATATATTATTTCACGTGGTATTCGAGTATGGTGTTAATATAAATCTATCGGCATGTGAAAAGTACTTAAGTGTGTGTGTGATCGTCTAATAAACTAGAGATTGCTTTATAGTTTGATTTGAAATAAAAGAAATGTTCTTCCCCGAGTGGGGAAGGGGCCGTACTCGGAAGTAGTGCAATACCGAGACAACCCGTGGCCAGGGCGAAGCAAGCTTCAATCCCATGGCCGAAGTCCAAAAATCAGTTTAATATATGAGTTAGGCATTGCCTAACATATCAGATATTAAGCTGATAAGAACAGAGTTTCTTATCAAAAAATGAACGAAAAATGATGGGGTCCGTCTTAGGGTCTGACTAGTGCGTTTATCTCACGCATGAGGTCCTATGCCTTAAATCTCAAACTGAGTGAGCTTATAATTCGCTCCTGGTGTCCTAAACTGAAAACTGAGAGGTAAACATACTTAGCCGTTGTGTCTAGCTTATTTTGGAATTGCATGCAATTGAAATGTCGACTCATGAGCGGGGATTTTCTCATGGACGAGTACCTAAGATGAGGCATGTGCCATAGCGGCCTGGGCATGTGTGCGTATAAAGGGGGTAAAACAAAAAAAAAAAAAAAAATAACAGTGTCTAAATGAAAATTAAAGTGCCATGTCAGCCTAATGCTGTAAGAACGAGGAGAAGGGTTAGGTGGAAGAGGAAAACGAAGACAAGAAAGGGGGAGAGGAGAATAAGGAAGAACCGGGCCTTGAGTTCATACAGCTTGGTCCCATCCCATGTGAAGGCGGAAGACATCACATGAACCTTGGATGGCATCGGTGCAGCAGAGCTTTCGGAAGAGGGATTTATATCGTTTCGTCATACCGAGTTGTCTTAGCAGCAGTTCGTTTTGTGGGTACCAAGAACCAAGAGAACCGATAACGAAGGGATATATCTCGCATTGTTTGTTGAGGTCAGTGAAGTGTTCTTTGAGAGGTAAGTATTTGTTGACTTTCTCTTGAGCAGCTTCCTCGAGCGCGTCTGGACCATTATCGAAGGGACATGTTACGTCGATTATTAAAACTTTCTTGTCTTCTTCAATGACGATATCAGGGCGTAGAGGGAAGCCAGAGTCTGCAACAGCACGATCGGTGGTGACGTTGCCAAAGCGCACAGCATTGGTGATACGAGTGACTAATTTGTTGTGGCGATGGCGGATGTGTACCAGGTCGGGACGGCAGTGGTTGAGTATGTGAGGAAGGGTTTCTGCTTCAGGACAGTGGCGACAGGTGGGTGCAGTGTTAGACCAGCGAGCTTTCACAGCATTGGTTGGGAGACAGTTCAATCGAGCTTTGTGGATGAAGCGCCAGTCTTTAAACCTGATGTTCAGGCCTGAGTTGTGCCAGGTGGAACCGTTCCCGTAGTCATCCGAGACGAGGCAGCGAGCGACTTTCCCTTGGTCTGGGAGGTCCATCAACTTCTTGCCGTAACGTTGCTGTACAGCACGGTGTAGGAAGGATGACACAGCTTTGGCTTCGGTGGTAGAGTCATCAGCGAAGATGGTTGGTGGTGAATCGTCGGAGAACACAAATTTGACTTGGAGTTTCCGACAGGCAACACGACAGCGGGACCATAGGGAGGAGTAGGTATAATACAGGCTGGAACATGGGCCGTCAGAATCACCGGAGAGGTACTTTGAAATCAGATTCGCCGAGGGATTTGACCGGGTGGAGCGTCGGACAACAGCACGGAGTTCAGCACGAGCAGCAGCAGTCACGGAGGGGTCATTGGCTGACAGGATGCGGACAGCTTGGACGATGCACTGGACATCTACTTCAGCAGTTGGATCTTGCAGGGCGAGTCCTCCTGCACTCTTTTGCGCAAAGAAATACGGTTGGCAAGAACGTTTTGGTAGGGAGCAGATGTCACGGAGGGTACTGATCAGGGCTGTACGATACGCAGACAGCGATTCTTTCTTGGGATCGCCAGCACGAAGGGCAAACGTCAGGGCCGGTTGAACGAAGACACGTATGGCGTCGATTTTCTGCCATGGGGCCAGTAGTGATGTACGGATGGCGGCGAGGTCTTCGGTTATCTGAGGAATGATAGCATCCAGATCATTGATGTTATGGATCATGCCAATTGGGACACCCAGGTAACGATAGGACTCTTCGGCCGCGAGGGACGGGATGACTTGGTCCTGGATACGGAATACATTGCGGTCCACACGGGCTGGTTCACCTTTGCGGTTGACAAATGATAATGTAGCACATTTATCCTGACGGAACTCAAGGCCAATAACCGACGCAGCAGAGGAAGCACTATCAAGGAGAGCCTGGAGAGCGTCCTTGCTACGGGCAACAAGGACAAGATCATCAGCGTAAGCTAGACAAGAGAGAAGAGTTTCAAAGTGCGAGAGTGATTGGTTCTTAGGAAGGTCTGCCGCTTTCTGTTTGACTGAACGGATGACAAGCTCCAAGCATAGATTGAATAGGACCGCGCTGAGAGGACATCCTTGTTTGACACCCGCACGTATAGGGATGGGGTCAGTGGTCTCTTGGCCAACACGGACGGAGGTGGTCGCACCGGTGTATGCGTTAGTGATCAAGGAAATCAGTTCTTCGGGTACGCCAAGGTGTTGGAGGGTAGTCTGGATTGCAGTATGGGGGATGCTTCCAAAGGCATTCCGTAGGTCGAGCCAGGCAACATATACTGTACGCTTGTTCAAGCGGGCGTCACGTATGACAGATTTGAGCAGGTAGGTATGTTCATAGCAGCCTTCTGCAGGACGGGCGCTCTTCTGTTCGTCCGAGAGAATGTTGTTTCGGATGGCCCAGGAGGAGATACGTTTGCCAATCACACCCATGAACAATTTGTAGATGCAGGACATCAAGGCAATTGGGCGGAAGTTGGAGGCATCATCCGAGGATCCCTTCTTGTAGATTAGGATGGTGAGGGCATCTTTCCATGCCTTGGGTACGTCACGCTCACGAAGGCAGCGGTTGAAGATGAGGGGAAGGAGTTTGGCGTTGGGGTCGACACGTTTGAGATGACGGTATTCGACTCGGTCAGGTCCAGGGGCTGTGTTTGAAGCAGTACGTAGCTTGGCCATGACCTCTTCTTCAGACATCTCAGTCGACAGGTGGGAATTGTCATCTTCGGAGGGTGGGACAGATTGTTGAAGGTGGTTCAAGAGGGTATTGGTGTCACACTGGCGGGTGGAGAAGACCTCGGTAAAATAATCCTGCGCAGACTGTCGAGAACCGGTGAAGGTGGTGGAGTTATTGGCGAGGATACGTCGGGCTGCACGCTTTTTGGAGTTGCGGTAAAGTCCTTGAATGCGTTTTGCCTCGTTTGGGTTGTACTGTTGGACAGGTCGGCCGTTAGGAGGTCGTCTTGGTTGGTTGGTGTGTCCTTCGGTGGGAGGGGGGTTTCGTGGTTGGTTGAGGGAAATGGCCAACGTTTTGGTTGCAGCAGCAAACACTTCACACTGTTCGGCGAACTCATCCCATGAGAGGTTGGAGGAGAAGACCGTGGACCAGTGGCGGTGGAATTCGGTTAGGTTTTCATCCTGGGTTTCAGGGAGGAGGGCATCCTGAGAGTTGTTCATATCAGGTGGCCTCTGTGGGGACTGCTGAGGTTGGCGAGGATTAGGTGCATTGGCAGGGACGGTGGGAGGATCTTGTTGGTGATCTTGGGGTGGTGGGTCCTGGGTGTCTGGGACAGTAGGCTCCGGAGGTGGTGGGCGAGGTGGTGACTGGGAGGGAGCGTCATCATCAGGGTCATCTTCTAGGGTGGCTTTGAGCCGCTCGAGGTCAGCGTTGATATTTCTGACTGCCTCAGAAGGGCGGTGTAGCACACGAGGTGGTGCGGACGACTGAGGGCTGGAGGATGGGCTGGATCTATCGCTTGGTGTGGGAGAGGGTTCGTGGTTGTTACCCCCATGTCGGAGGTACTCGATCAACTGGTTCACTTGAGGTTCGGGATGGGGGCAGATGGTGGTTCTGCTGTGGAGAGGAATGGGAGGTGCGATCTCTTGGGTTGGAGGTCTTGGGCAGTCGGTAGAGCAGTTTGATGTTGGTTGCGCTGGTGACATAGGTGTGAACGGACGAGTTGGGGAATTGTTCAAGAATTCCGCGATCAGGTCCTGAGTAGAGGGTGACTGGGGCTGCTTTGGAGAACGAGGTACTGGTAGACAAGTTGTTGGTGGCGACCGGTTGATAACTCGACGCAGGATGTCATGCATCTCAGGAGTGGATGGCAGGATACCAACTGAGTCTTGTGAGGCGGTCTTTGGCGGTGATTTGCGGGATTTTTCCCCATGTATTCGAGCGTAATGTATGGAGCCAGCACGGAAGGTTGGGAATTCACGATGGCAAGCAGAGCACGTTGATGGGGTTTGGACATCCAGGGTCTTATGAACTCGTCTAGCATGTGTTTTGAAGCTGGAACTATCTCGTTGGATTCGGTTGCAGGCAGGACATTTGATGCCAGTCGATGGGAACGGAACAGGACATTTCATGACCAGCGGATTCATGTTGTACGCCATGTTGGGTGGATGGTCAAACAGAAGCAGCAAACATGGATTGTGGTGATTTATATCGTAAAAACCTAAGTTTTGGCAACAACATCAACCAGCAAGAGCAACGAGAGTATACGAGGCCCGCAGGTCTACCGTATAGGAAATATAGATATAAATTTATAAAGTAAGGTAGAAAAATATATTACAAAAACGAAGATTCCAGGCTAAGACCAAACGGAAACAAGTCAGGTTTTTAGGTTTTAAAGAGATAGAAGAGAAGCTAGTGGTGCTGTATTTTGAGAAATCAACCGAAAAAAAAAATAGCTCGCACGGGGAGAGCACGGACTACAGCTAGTCTTACCCTCGTATTATATCTCGAAACTTTACAAGTGTAAAGGAGACCCGTTGGAGAGAGTATACTTTAGTGAATGCAATTAGGTGCAGTGGGTCGAGGCCAGGATGGCTGCCACAGACTTAATTGTATTCAGAATATAACGCGTGGGTCGAGGCCAGCTAAGCTGCCACGTTTTATATTCCGTAGATAAGTATACACTGAATGCTAATAGTGCCTCAAACTTGGGATGAACCAAGGAGAAATCGAAATAGAATCGTCAGCAGTGTTTCCTGGGCTATTAAGCAGCTGGAGCGAACTCAATAGGGCCGAGAAACACTAGAAGAGCAACAAACACCGCAGTGAATATGTCCCGCTTTGTATTATATTTCGAACCTAAATTGTTGTGGAATTTGCATATGTTTGGCCGAAAATCACTCACCGTATCGGGAAGAAACCAGCTTACAACAAGGGAAAAAGCTGTTTTCCTGTGTTTGTTTCAAACCTTAGACAAGGGAAACCCGATACAGTTTGTATATAAGTCAAACCCCGTCGAAATCTTTTGAGTTTCCCGCGAAGAAAAGGCCCAAAAGCGCTCGGCAAAGTTTCAAGCTATACGCGTGGGATGACCACGTGTATAGAACTTATATACACGAAAATAAAATCTCAAACTCAGCAATGCTGAGGAGCTGTAATCGTTGTGCTACGTAGCAAAGCTACTACTAAGAAAGGAGAGGATGTCGAAACTGCAAGAAGGCAGCCGCTCGTAGATAACTCGATAGCCGGGTTACTGGCACCAATCCAGAGCATAGAATCCCCAGCTAAGCGAGTGCGAAGGCCCTAACAGCACAACGATTCTGAACCAGATAATTATCTAAGTTAGATAATTATCTAGATAAATCCTTAGTTAGTTAACTAACGTGAACTAACTAAGCGCGGTCTTAACCTAGCTGCGTGGCCTGCCAACAGGAGCAGTTGGGTGTCTCTAAAAGACCTCCCAACGCGCAAACTCCGATGG